TATATATATTAAATTCAATCCAATTACTTCGTTATATAAAAAGAATTATCCAAGGAAAAATAATAAAAGTGAAAGTACGTATTCTTTGACTGTTGTAAAGAATTATGGAATGTACGCTATGCTACATGTGTTGTTAGTTGCTAGTGCTACCAGACAAAACTAAAATTGTCGTGCTTGCTGGCCACTTTATGTTTTTTTGCCTTTTTACCTTCTCTAAAATTAATGAGTATGCATCTATAAAGGCTAATATATAGTATTAATTATTAAGTAGGAAAGAAAATCCTAAAAAGAACAAAACAGTTCGTTTTAATTGCTAAAAACAAATAACCTAGTGTTGCTAATGAAAATGTTTCATTAAGTAAGTGTCAGTTTTTGACTTTCGCAATTTCACTATCCTCCCGTCTCCATAATGTAATAAAATAACAAGAAAATCGTTCATTTGTGATTTCAGAAACACGATTTCACATTTAACAGATAAGGAAAAACGGGATTAGAAAAATAATTAAAAGTCGGTTAGGCTTTACATTTGGAAATTTGAAGAATATATCCCACGGTATTAGACTATATGACTCTGACTTTGACTACAAGGTACACTCTTCTCTATTACTCCATAGAAGTTTTTTATAATAAAAATGGGAATTTATGGAATATATTCTTCTTGTTTTTCCTCTTCTTTGTTCTGCTTCTTTTCTTTTTAAAAATTTTTATGTGGACGAAAATTGACGACTGTTTGTTAGGTACCAGAATAAAAAAATAGAATAGGTGGTTTATATTTAATTTCAACGACAATGAAATCAAAAGTAGAAAGGCCCAAAACGACCGTACAGTATTGAAGTGATTGATTTTATAACAAGGTTTCTTATGAAGATAACGAGCTAATATCATATGTATTTACGACCTTTTGCACAATTTGGAATTTATGTCTTTATTATCATTTTTTAAAACTAGATATTCCCCTTTTTTGTCAAGGAATAGAATTGCTTATATCCCTTCATTATTCCTTGCATAATGGTTGCCCTTTTAAGTAAATGATGCACCAGAGAACATGTAAAAAGGGAATAAGAAAAAAGAAAAGCTAAATATTTTTCATTGGAATTGTCCGTTACCCGTTGAAAATTAAAATACTGAAACACGAAAAGAAAACATATGCGTTCTTAATTTAAATTTAGAGCACTTGAACTCGTTTCAATATTACTGAACTAATGTTCAACAGACCTACATCTTAAGCCCAGTTATGCATAAATGGGCTAATACAGGGGCAAGTACACAGATAGCCATTCTCAGAGATGCTATTTAGAGATTAGTCATTACTTATTTTATACTAAAATTTTAATCTAAAAATATTAACTTCAGGATAACTTAAGACATTTTTGTCCTGAAAATTTGAACTGAAAAACTGAAATTCAGGACGCAGTGGCTAATTCCTAAATAACAACCCTTTATGTGGCTACCGGGTGCCATTTCTACGCTAATACCCCATCATTAAATTTGAAAAATTAATGTGTATTATTAGCCGCTTACAAAAATAATAACCGATAAAATATGTATTTTTTGTATACATGTATATTATAGAGAAAACATATACGTATTTATAGACTTTTTGGCTGACAAATGCAATTAGTTTCAGTCGAGTGGCCAATTTTGTATTTTGGCCTAAATTTTACTGGACTTGCAAATTGCATCACTACGACTTCGGCTCATTAACCATGAAATATGTAACTGTAAGGAAAAATCATTTCCGTAATCAATCTGAGTTATGAGCTTTCATGTGATTTAGGATTATAATAGGATGATATATAAACCAAAAGGAAATAGGCAAAATTTACGTGCAATTTTAGCAATATGTGCTAATAGATCTTAGGCATAAGCAACAGCTAAATTTTTGCAACCCAAGTGTAGAAAGTCTAGAAACTATGTACTGTTATAAATCACATTATTTTAAAATTTAAAATGTTGATCTAAAGTTTAAAAATTATAATCAGTAAAAGAATTACTTGACTCTCTCCAAATATTACTGGCGCCAAACAAACTATGAATCTAGAAGAAGTAATATTAATAATGTAAGAAAAACAATATAATAGCAAAAAATAGGGAAAGAAAAATGGAGACAGAAAAATAAGAGAGGTGCAATTGAGGGCAATGCGAGTGTAACTGAATGGTCAAACTATTCACGATTTATCCAAAAATAAAAATAAAATAAATAAAAAGAAAAAGAAAAGGACTATATTGACGATTTTATTCTCCTCTATTTGTTCCTTTATTCCTCACAAATCATGAATGTTTATCTCATGAGACAACATTCTTGATTTGTCCTCCTTATTGTCTTTTGCCTCTTTGCCAAGATATTCATAGGAAACTTGTATTCTAATTTCCATTCCATCTTCAAAATTACTATAGGAATAATCCATTTTCCACATTAGGAAAAGGACCAAATTAACTAGTCAATGGATAAGAAAACTCTGCCTTTTGTTGAATCTGAAAATTATATGGAATGGTTTTAAACTCCTGAGGCAAGATTTACTTTTGAGGAGATTATATTGCAGAAAAAAATATTAAAGATGGGTGCATGTTGTACCTGTCAAAGGGTACGGCATTTTGATCAAGAAAATTATCGTCACCATTTTGTGGAGGAGAAAGAGGAGAAAGATATTATTATTGTTGAAGATGATAATTATAATGGTAATTTTGCAGGAAAGGGAGATTTTGGTGCTCATATTAGGTTGCATGGATATTCTAAGTTTGTATCAATGTATAGTCAACAAGGTAAAAAAGGGATTAATCAAGATGCCATGACTGTTTGGGAGGTACATTTTATTCTTTCTTCTTCTCCAAAAACTAATATTGTAATATTATGCATATTATCATTATGTTTGTGGGTAATTAGCCCATTCTTAAGGACGAAAGATATAATATTTACATTTTAACAGACAGATGAAAGTTATGTCTCTATTCCTTTTCCACGAGGAAGAAAGGGGTGAGAATAATCACTTTAAATTAATGTTTCCATAATCTTTTTTTATTTCTCGGATATCTAATTTGTATTTCCATTCATTACCATGAATATATAAAATTTTTTTTATGTTTACCCTCATAATAGTAAAAAAAAAAATCATCCTTTTCTTATTGATGATTGTGAACTGTTGCCCGGAAATGGATGAATTAGTACTAATACATTTTAATTTATACATAATGGCTGTGTTTCTATGAAGGAAAAATATTTTTTTTGAAAAATAAATAATTTTCTTACTTATTTTCTGATGTATATGTAGAACTTTGGTGGACAGAAAGGTACGTTCTTTTGTGGTGTATTTGATGGACATGGTCCCTCCGGCCACAAAGTCGCGCGCTATGTACGCGACTTGTTACCGGCGAAAATTTCGTCATCTTTAAAGGAGTCTAATGATGTGAGTGATCAAAGAAGCACTGAAAATGATGATGAAACTGATCAGAACCCACTCTTTGCTACACTGAAAGCTGCATTTCTCAAGTCCTTTAAGGAAATGGATGAAGAACTTGAGAAGGAACCTTCTATTGAGAGTTATTCCAGTGGCACAACAGCTGTTACTTTATTTAAGAAGGTATACAAGTATTCCCTATGTTTTATTATATATGACCAGTGTTTGACTAAGTATCAAGTTTAAACAAAAAAGGACTTCAAGTGTATAGCAACATTATTACAGAGGCGGATCCAGGATTTCAAGATGATGGGTGCACTATTGTGAAGACGTGGATCTAGAATCACGTGTTTAACTTTAGTCTTTTACCATGAACTCACTACATTTTTAAAATTATATATTAATGCCATTTAAAAAGTTTTTGGTGATTTTCACGTATAAATATCAATGCTCCATGCCGAAAATAAGTTCGTCCGAAGTGGTATTTGAACCGTCAATTTTACTCGTAGAGATGCATCCAATAATTATTGCACCATATGAGTCTTTGAGCATAGGTGCACTCACATATATTTAAGTAATTTTAAAAAAATATAACATAATTACACATGGTTTAGGGAGAGGAACAATACCCTTAGGCCTAGATACGCCCCTGACAACATAGCCTTAAAATTTGTGTATTAAACATGCATGTTATGAGATTTTATCGCTATAAAGAACACGTAATTAACGATAATTGCAAGTTTGAAGTTAAAAAATTCAAAATTTAGAAAAGATTATTCTTTTTAGAATAGACTAAAAATGAAATAATGTGGATAGATGATTTGCTTGTGGTTCTTTATTTAGTCTAATTGTTGAATTTTCAGGGAGAACATTTGTTAATTGGAAACTTAGGGGATTCTCGAGCTATAATTTGCACCAGGGATGAGAAAAATCAGCTTATTTCTGAACAACTCACAGTGGACTTGAAGCCTCACATTCCAAGTAGGTCTTCTCAAGAAAATGTTTACTGAACACAATTTTAAGACCCAAATAAAAATCTCAGATTATATTTATTGTATTATTTTTTTATCATTAGGTGAATATGAAAGAATCAAAAGTTGCAAAGGAAGAGTAATGGCAATGGAACAAGAACCAAATGTGTATAGAGTTTGGATGCCAGATGAAGATTGCCCTGGCTTGGCCATGGCTAGAGCTTTTGGAGATTTTTGCTTGAAAGATTTTGGCCTCATTTCAGTCCCGGAAGTGTATTACAGAAAGCTTACTGAGAGAGACGAATTTGTTGTATTGGCAACTGATGGGGTAAGCATCTTTTTACAAATAACAAGTTTTTCTAGCCGGTATACATTGATTATACACTGATTATACACGGTTATACATATTTTTGTATATGAATTATGCATGTATGATATATTCACCGATTTTTTTTAGTTTGAGCGATTGGGTGGACAACTATTTGAATTAATTCTTCAACTTAAATACCACATTATTGCATTATCTGTCTGGTTTTTTCTACACTTGAATAGATGCATAATCCTACATATGACAAGTACAATGCATCTACATGTTTAGATCATAGGAATTACTAAATCATCTTTGACATGACTTAGTTATTACTTAAATTATTCTACATAATGCCTGAAAGGCTTACTTTTTAGATTAATTATGTTATAACAGGTTAAGTTGCATTAATAATGTAAAGATTTTTCGTGTTATCAGTTGATAGAACTTAAACTCTTTTCTACTTTTAGGTGTGGGATGTTTTAAGCAACGATGAAGTGATGCGGATAGTGGCTACAGCAAGAAAGCGATCAATGGCAGCAAGATTGCTTGTGGAATGTGCAGTTAGAGCCTGGAAATACAAATATCCGCGCGCAAAGATAGATGATTGTGCTGTAGTATGTTTGTTCTTGAAACGCCAAAGGCCACTGTTAACCAAATCAATGTCCGAAGTTACTCAATTGAGCTTCAACTATACAGAGCTAGCAAACGATCAAAATTACCCTGACAACACCAAAACAGACGATGGCCTTGATACATTGCTTAATTTTCAAGTCGAAGAAGATAATGATCAAGATATTGCTCGTGGACCTGAAGATGGATCGGATAATATCGATAATAAGAATTCATCGACAGAGAATACACATAATCAGGGCCGACGAAGAAGATCTGGAATGAAGTTTGTGTATCCTGATGATCATCAATAATGTAAGAGAATATAGGTTACTGGAAATTGAAACCAAATGCTTGTATACATATATATATAAGTGGCCAGATTTTCTTCTAAGTGTTTAATATTTATTATTACATAATATGTTGCTCTATCAGTAAGAATGTAATAACTTAGAATTTTATTATGTACATATCCTTTTGTGTCTAGTTCGTTAAATCGAGTTCTGTAACATTTGCGTTTGATAAATTTTATATATTTTAATGTATTCTCGATGGAATTTCATATTGTAATCTATTTTAAAAGTTCTACATTTTCAAAAAAATAAAAATAGAAGATTTATGAGATTTACGTGCCATGTTAGCACACTACTCCATTATAGGTATACCTAATATCAATTACACTGGTTGTGGAGTTCATATCAGTATTTTGTAAATGCGACTTATTTCGCTCTTAAAAATATCTTTGAAATGCAAAGAATTCAAAATTAGACTCAAGAGTACTCAAGAGGTAATTAAAAACGTAAAAGACATTATAAAAGAGGTAATCAATGTAACTTGTAGCTTAAAATGAAGCAGATTCATGAAACTAAAAGTAGATCGCATTTCCTAACAAGAGATCATAAATCAAAAGTCATTTGAGCTTAAAATAATATATCTACCTTATGTACATCATGATCAACTGTAACGATCCGGCCGGTCGTTTTGAGTGTTATAGCCCCGTTCCTCCCAATTACTGCTTATTTTATGCTCAATTGTCGTTATGTGACTTGTCGGGCTAGTTGGTTCGGTTCCGGGGATATTTCAGAATGAGTTGAGATACTTAGTCTCAAGGTTGGAAGCTTAAGTTGAAAAGGTTGGCCGGATATTCACTTATATGTAAATGGCTCCGAAATGGAGTTTTAATGGTTTCGATAGCTCCATTGGGTGATTTTGGACTTAGGAGTGTGTCCAGATAGTGATTTAGAAGTCCGTAGTTGATTTAGGCTTGAAATGGTGAAAGTTGGAAAATTAGAAGTTTTGAAAATTTGAGAAGTTTGACCGAGAGTAGACTTTGTGCTTACCAAGCTCGAATTTTGGTTTTGGGAGTGGGAGTAGGTCTGTTGTGTCATTTATGACTTGTATGCAAAATTTGAGGTCAATCGGACTTGATTTGATAGGTTTCGGCATCAAATGTACAAGTTAGAAGTTCATAAGTTCATTAGGCTTGAATCGATGCGCGATTCATGGTTTTAGCGTTGTTTGATGTGATTTGACGCTTCGAGCGAGTTCGTATGATATTTTAGGACTTGTTGGTATGTTTGGTTGAGGTCCCGGGGGCCTCAGGTGGATTTCGGATGGTCATCGGAGTGGAATTGACTTGGAGAAATGGCTGGAGTCTCCTGAAGTTTGTTGGTGTTCAGGTTTGGTTTCCTTCTATGCGATCGCGTGGATAGGTCCGCGATCGCAAAGGCTTGTTTGGGAAGGTGGAATTTTTACTCTTTACGTTCGCGAGTAAGAGTATGCGCTCGCATAGGTTGGTCAGGCAGTACATCACGAGCGCGTGGGCTAAGCCACGTTCGCGAAGAGGAAGTGAGGCAGCTGGGTTCCACTTGGTTGTTATTCGCGATCGTGTAGCAGTGTCTGCTATCGCGTAGGTTTGTGAAGGTTAGTCACCGCGTTCGCGTGGGTCTTTAGGCGATCGCGTAGGGTTAATTCTTGGGCAGCTGAGTTTTTGCTTCGTGATCGCGATTAAGGGATATCTGGGCAGAATTTAAAGTCTCAAAATGACGGTTTGAGTTTATTTCACAAATTTAATTTTGGGAGCTCGGATTGAAGCGATTCTTGGAGAAATGTTCAAGGGAGTAATTGGGATAGGTAATTCTTACTTAGTTTTATTTAAGTTCCATGATTATATCTTTGATTTTATCATTTAATAAGTGATTTGGGGTGAAAACTTTGGAAAAAATGGAGAAAACTTCTTAGGCCGAATTTTGCGGATTTGAGCGAGATTTTGGTATCGGATATGAGAAATTTTGGTATGGTTGGACTCGTGGTTGAATGGGTGTTCGAATTTTGTAACTTTCATCGAATTCCGAGATGTGAGCCCGGGGATTGACTTTTTGACTTTTGATTAAGAACTAGCATTTTCATATGGAATTGATCCCTATAGCTTGAGTTGATTGTATCGAATTATTTGTGGCTATATTCGAGGCATTCAGAGGCCGATTCGCGAGGCAAGGGCGTGTTGGAGTAGAGATTTGCACGGTTTGAAATTACCTGCTATGTGATTGATGTTGAGGTGACGCGCATGCTAGGTGACAGGCGTGTGGGCGTGCACCGTAGCAATTGTGATTTAGTCGATTCCATAGAACTGTGTAGCTATCTTGTCTGAATAATTATTACTGTACTCTATGTGTTAGAGCACTTGAGGTGTGATTTATGCTAGAAATCATGTTTAGGCTATGTGCTAGTAATATTGGGACCCACAGTGGTCGTTCTTTGTTGTTGAGCTACTTAATTGCAGTTATGTACTCAATTGCATTCATTATTGCATGTCATATCTCAGTCTCGGTTATCATACATCGTTACATCATGTATCATTTATTTGGGCTGCATAGCATGAGTGTTGTGAGCCCGAGAAACTGGAGAGATTGATGATTGAGTGAGGCCGAGGGCCTGTTTGTGAGTGATATTTATGGGATCGAGTTGCACGCCATAGCAGGATTTATTGATTCATACCATGTTTGGCTTATTATAGCGCTTGGGTTAGATCTGCCCCTCCGGAATTTGCACACCCACAGTGAGTGCAGTTGCTATTAATTCACGATATTTGATTCAGGTTGGATCTGCCCTGTACAGTGCTGAGTGATTGAGTGTTATGAGTGAGAATTGAGACAGTCAGGCCAAGTACTCCAAGAGTGTGAGTACGTGGGGCTTTCATTGTGTTGCATCACATACGATATACATATTGGCATATAGATATAGAGATGTCATATTCCTCATATCATTCAGACTTGACATATTTTATCTGTTCTGAGTTTAATTATTAAACCTGGAAGTATGTCTACATTCCTGTACTGGTACCTATAAATTATGAGTTTCTCTGAGATAGTACTATCATATGTTCTGTAAATTTCCGTACTGTTTAATTATGTGTTTGGACCGTATTGTTTGGACTCGTCACTACTTTCAGTCCAAAGGTTAGATTTGTTACTTATGGAGTTGGTTGTACTCATGCTACACCCTGCATTTCATGTGCAGATCCAGGTATTTTCAGGCACGGTGGTTGTTGATATCAGAGTTTTCAGCCGTTCGGAGATTAACGAGGTAGCTGCCTTGGCATCCGTAGACCTTGACTCTCCTCCCATATCCCTCAGTTTTATTTAGTCAATTCTACTTTCTTAAATAATGTATCAGACTATGTATTTGTGTAGATGCTCATGTACTCAGTGACACCCGGATTTTGGAAATTTTTATATTTAGTTGTGACGTTTCATCCAGTATTTATGAGGTTTTCACTTATTTAAACCTGTTTTAGTATAATATGAATTTGAAAGTGTTGGTATGCATGAGTTGTTGGCTTGCCTAGTTTCATGATAGGCGCCATCACGGCGGGTGGAGATTTAGGTCGTGATAAATTGGTATCAGAGCCTAGTTACATAGGTCTCACGAGTCATGAGCAGGTTTAGAGTCTTGCGAATCGGTACAGAGACGTCTGTACTTATCTTCGAGAGGCTGCCGAACCCTTAGGAAAACTTCACATTCTTGTATTCTTGTCGTGCAGATTTTTTTATTCCGGGAACTAAACTTCTCATATTCTATTCTGTCACAGATGGTGAGGACACGTGCTACCGGACTGGATGGACAGCCACCAGTACCACCAGCTAGGGCCACGAGAGGCCAGGGCCGCGGTAGGGGCAGAGGTATAGCTTGTATAGCAGCTAGAGCAGCACCTGCAGATCCACCAGTTGCTTCAGCTCAAGTGTAGGTTCCAGATGTGGCTGAGCCAATGGGGCCAGCTCAGGCACCAGTTGTGCCCATTTTGATTCCAGGCCTTCAGGAGGCTTTGGCTTAGATATTGATTGTTTGCACTAGCCTTGCTCAGGCAATTTCTGTTCAGACCGTGCCAGACACTTCTCAGGTCGGGGGAGGTACTCAGACTCCCGCTGCCCGTACTCCAGAATAGGTGGTACAGGGACTTCAGACACCGGAGGTACTACCAGCCTAGACGTTTGCAGTTTCTCAGGACCAGGTGGGTCCCATTATGAGTGATAAGGAGCAGAAGAAGCTAGAGAGATTTCGGAGGCTCAGGCCTCCATCATTCAGTGGGGCTGAGTCAGAGGATGCTAAGGACTTCTTGGATAGGTGCCAGCGGATTCTTCGCACGGCGGGTATTCTGGAGACTAGTGGGGTCTCCTTTACTACTTTTCAGCTATCAGGGGATGCCTTCAGATGGTGGGAGGTGTCACAACCCCAATTCACCCTCCGTAGGTTGTCGTGATGGCACCTAGTCTCTAAGACTAGGTAGGCCTAACAATTTGCGGAAATACGTAAAATAAAACTGAAGCCCAATTTTCAACATATGAAATAAATATAAAACTGCAATTCAATAATTTCAACTCCCAAAACCCGGTAGAAATAAGTCACAAGTTTCTAAGAATTTATTCTGAATGTCTCAATACATCATAGTCTAATGAGAAATCAGGAAGACAACATATTAAGTATAGAGGGGGACTCCGAGGTCTGCGGACGTTGGCAGATGTACCTTGAAGTCTCCGTGTACAGCTAGTTCACTGATACCTAGTCTGATAGGAAATACCTGGATCTGCACAAAAAGATGTGCAGAAGCGTATTATGAGTACACCACAACGGTACCCAGTAAGTGTCAAGTCTAACCTCGGTAAAGTAGTGAAGAGGTTAGTTCAGGCCCTATTGGAAATAATAGAAAAGTAAGACAGAGGATATAATAATATAATGAAATGACTGAGAAGTGAACAACACAGTAAATAGAGGTAAACAACAGAGGCGCTCCAGAGGTACCGTCTCGTAGTCCCAAAAGTAAAATACAGTGCAGAGGAATCTCCCGAGGAACTGCCTCGCAGTCCCAAAAGTAAATATGCAGTACAGGGGGATCTCCCGAGTAAACGCCTCGTAGTCCCAAAAGTAAATATGCAGTACAGGGGGATCTCCCGAGTAAACGCCTCGTAGTCCCAAAGTAAATATGTAGTAAAGGGGGATCTCCCGA